GCAACATTCCCTATTACAAATATTATCCAATGATACGCGACACGTCACTCCATTACGACTATATTTTGCGTATACGTCGTTTTTATAAGGTTTTTATTTTATTTTTTGAAAACAATTAGAATAAAATATGTTTTTAACTATCGGGGGCCTTTGAAAATTTTTGGACTCCGGACCCGGGCCCATCGAGCCCGTGCGTTTACACGTTGCAACAAGAAACAATGTCCGCGAATTGTCAGGGGATACACATATAGCAAATTAGCATTTTGATACCGGTAGCAAGAAAATGAAAATGATTAGAAAAGTAGAATAATTAAATATATTATATTCATCAAAACTACTCGTTTTTACACGCATTACTCGTTATTTTCACATCTTATTATGCAAAGGGAAATTTTCTATTCATTTTCATATTTAACTCAATTAAAAGACGCAATTGAAAATATATTACATGATTAAATAATATTAAACGTTATCTTTCTTTTCAAGATTTGAATGACACAGTTTATTAGCAATTCACAAGTCGCATCACCAACGTTGCTTAGAGAGAACACCTTCTTAGTCCTGTCATCACTGATATTATAGCATAAAATGTTGCTTCAACCTGTAGCTGTATGTATTCCAAAGCTCTTTTTACTCTTCAAAAATTTTAAACGGTGACAGGTTACTCCGGTGTGTGTTCTCCAACACCTTGTCTTGGCTGGTGGGTATCACTCTGGGCCTGCTTTTCGCTCTTCCCAGTTTGGGTGTGTGGCACTAGCGTGTAATAAATGAAAGGGGAGGTGGGAGGTGGGAAGGAATCTCTCACTACCCCGTACTTGACGTTGTTCGGAGAGAAGGGAGGGGGAGGGGGGGAGAGAAGAGGTGTAAATTATAGATGTGAGAGAAATGAGGGTGCTATTTGAGTAGGAATTTGTGGCCGATGTTGGTGGGTAAGTGGAGTTATGACGTGCTAGGCGGGGGAAGTTTGAGGATGTCAAAGGGGTGAAAAAATCTTGATTTATGGAGGGGTGGATTGTGAAGGATGTGTTGATGGGGGCGGGTTTGTAAAAAGTAGTGGGTTTTCGTGAGTGCGTTGTTAACGTCTTTACGTGCAATGTCGAAAATGTCTTTGTCAATTGGCGTTAAGTCTAGTGTTTGTCGGAGTCTGTTGTAGTTTGTAAGTGGAGGAGGTCGAAATGAGATGCGTAAAAATCGGTTTTCTGTTTTTATTAGTTTATGGTAGTTAGTCTTTGATGTCGTTGCCCAGGTCGCACAGTTGTATGTCAGTATGGGTTTAATATATGTCTTGTATATGTAGAGTTTGGTCTTGGTGGGTGTGAGTGGGTGTCAGGACAGGTGTGAGGGAGTTCAGTCGTCTGTTTGCTTTTTGGGTAACTGTGTCAACATGTCTGTTCCATGAAAGTTTGCGGTCAAGAGTGATGCTTAGGTATATTGTCTCGTTTGTCCAGTCATTTGCAGTGTTGTCTATAGTGAGCGGGGGTGGTGTTGGATGCGCCTTGCCAGGGTATCCTCTGTTGAAAAATATTGCTGCACTTTTGCGGGGGTTTAGTCTCAGGTTATTGTCTTTTGCTCAGGTAGTTATGTCGTCTAAGTCATTTTGTAGTATTTGGGCTGAGTGAGGAAGTCTACGTTTTATCACTGCCAGAGCTGTATCGTCAGCGTATATGTAGTCGTTTGTCTGAGGTGAGGTCGGCAAGTCGTTCGTGTAGAGGGAGAAGAGGATAGGGGAGAGGACGGCTCCTTGCGGGACGCCGGCGAGGATGGGTCTGAGGGAGGAAGAGGAGTTGAGGTGGTTGACATAAAAAGAGCGGTCGGTCAGGTAGTTGGCGATGAGTGGGAGGAGGAAGCGGGGGATGTGTGGGGTGATTTTGTAAATTAATGTATTGTGGTTAACAGTTTCAAGGGAGTTGTGAAATCAAGAAAAATAGCTGGTACCGGTTGTCGTTTTCCTTCCTGTAGTCGCGTCGCAATGTCGGAAGTTAGGCGTAGCGTTTGTAGTCCAGTCGATCTGTCTGCTCGAAAGCCGAATTGTGTCGGTCTGAGTCGTTCTTCTAGTATAGGGGATAGTTTTTGCAGGATGATGCGTTCAAATATTTTGCCTAAAATAGGGAGGAGGCTGATCGGTCTATAGTTGTCAGGATTTTGGAGGGACTTGCTGGGTTTGGGGATCATTCTGATTTTGGCGATTTTCCAGGAGTTGGGGAAGTAGGAGATATTGATACAGGCGTTGAATACTTTGGTGATGAAGTCAGGTCATTATTGGTCAGGTTTTTGAGGGCGTTGGCTTTTATTCCGTCGGGGCCGGTCGCTTTGCCGCCGTCGAGGTTTTTCAGTTCGTTCGTTACGTCCGCGTTAGTTATAGTCCAAGGCGTTTTCATGAAATATAAGATGGTGGATGAGGGGAGGGGTGCGTTGGGTGCGGTGAATCTTGTTTGAAGTTTGTCTGCAAAAAGTTCTGTCATCGTCTGTGGGTCGTAAGTTTTGGTGCCGTCGGGTCGTAGTAGTGGCGAGATGTTATGCGTAGTTTCTTTGAGAGATTTTATTAAAGTCCAAATTTTACTGGGGTGCGTAGTTAGGTCTGTGATAGTTTTCGTCCAATTTTGGCACTCATAGTTTATGAGTGCGTCGTGTAGCGTTCGTTTGTAGTATAAGTACGTCATTTTGTCTTCCTGTCGACGTGTATTGTAAAAAGTTTTTTGAGTCTTTCGTTTGTATCGTAATAGTAGCAGTATGTGATTTGGTAGTTTTTCTTGTGAGTTGTAGGTGAAGGAGGAAGCTTTCCGAAAGGAGCGATTGATTTGGAGGGTTAGATGTTTGATGGCCTGGTCAATTTCAGTTTGATTAGTTAATGCATTTGGGGATTCGACTTTTTTGGAAATGAGGTGTTTGACTTTGCGCCAGTCAGTGGAGATGGATCGGGAGGGGAAATTGAAGTTGGGGGATGATGTGTCTGTGGTGAAGAGGATTGGGATCGTATTGATCGGAAGTGAGTTCAAGATTGGGATGAGGGGTGCTTATTGTGATATTGGAGGAGTAAAGGGCGAAATCCAGGATGTCGTGAGGAAGGTTGCGGACAAGGTGCATAGGTTCTGCTGGCGCTGAAAGGGTTACGTGTGTGTTCGTGTCGAGGTATGTCTGTAGTATATGTCCGTTAATGTTGGTATGTCTGCAGCCCCAGGTAGTTGATTTTGAATTTATGTCGCCTGCTAGTAGAAAATTGTCACGCGTGAGTAAAGTCAGTTCGCTGTCTAGTAGCGGGAGTTGAGGAGGTTTGTAGATGGAAGCTATTGTGAGAGGTCCGTGGAGGGGTATTTGGATTAGGGTGTTCTCGATGTGGGTGGTGGGGCGAAGGGGAGTTGGGTGTGAGGGATGCCTTTTTGCAATACAATTGATACAACATGTGGATACAAATTGCAGTTCCACCGCCGGGGGTGGAGCGGTCGATTCGGTAGGTTATATAGTTGGGGATGCTGAAAGGATGGGATAGTGTCAGATGCGTCTCTTGTATGAGTAATACCCCGACGGAGTAGTCTGTCAGGTATTGTTTTATGTCGGTCAGCTTTCGAGCGAGTCCGCCATTGGCATTCCAGGAGGAAATATGAAGAAGTCGTCGTCTAATGTGTTTAAAAAAGTTCACAAGCTTTGCTGATAACAGCGATGATTTTGGTCATGTTGTCAGTCGGTGTTTTACAGATGGTGATTATACCCTTGATGGTTGTAATGAGTTGGGTGATATTGCAGGATTTGAGGAGGGAGATAAGTTCTTTAAGGTCGCTGAAGGTGGAGGTAGGGGAAGGAGTAGGTGTAGGTGTTATGTTGCTGGTTCGGGAGGAGTAGGATTGTCGTGAGTTGGTCGTGTGTGCATTGAAGGTTTGCTGGAATGCGTTGGTGTTAGTTTGGGGGAGTGGTGGGAATTCAAAGTTGCTGGGGGCTGGTAAGGTTCGTCCATGGCTCGTTGGGTTTGGTCGGGGTTGTTGGATTGCTTTTTGTCTGTCTTGTTTAGATTTTGTCAGAACGGGGCAGTCAGGTGAGTACGTAGGGTGGGCGTCGTGGCAGTTTGCACATTTGAATGTCTGGTTAGTGCAAGTCGAGGTATGATGGTTTTCGCTGCATTTCGCGCATATTGTTCGTCTGTGGCAGTAATGTCGGGTGTGGAAGAGCATCTGGCAGTTGTCACAGCGGGGAATGAGGTCGGTCTGGTTGTACTCGTGAATTGTAATTTTATGGTGAAGTAGGTAGTGTATGTTTGCTTTGATTTGTCCTGTCTCTTGTTTGTTTGTCTCGATAACGTTAAGTCCTAGTCCAATCAAAGCATTGGTGTCGGTCCTCTTTTTCATTACAGAGACGTGGTGTACTTTGTAAGGGAATTGGGAGAGGGCAGTCAAAACGTCAGTCGTGGGGATGTTGGGGGATAGTCCTTTGATAACAAGTGTTGCGTGTCGTTCTTCGGTCGTTCTGTGGTGGTGGTATTAGAGGTTACTGTCAAAGTATCGTGTCCGTATTTTGGGGTCCAGTTCTGTGGCCTCCAGAGCTTTCAAGATTTTCTGGTGGGCGTCGGTAGTTTTTGCTTGGAGGATAAGCTCCGTTCTAGTGCTTTTAGCGAAGAAACTATTGGGCAGGTGTTGTTGGAGGTCAGTTAATCGTCGAGTGGGGTATTTCAGTCCGTTATTGTCTATATGGATGGCACCTATTTGAGGGCGTCTTGTAGGTGTTGGGGTTGTCTCAGTGGGAGTTGGTGCTTCGGTGTTGCTAGTCCTGTCTTGGTCAGTTTCTGGTGGCGTCAGAACACTGTAGCGGTTGTCAGTAGGTAGTGGCGTAGGCACGTTAGGTGGGCAAGCTTTGGCTGTGTGATGCCGCTTTGGCACACGAAAGCCGTTGTCCGTAGTAGTATCAGTCGTAGTAGGGGGTGGTGCAGATTGGGAAGTGTGGACTGAGGAGATATTGGGAGGTTGGATCGGGGATGTTTCGTGAGGATGAGGAGTCACGTTAGCGCCACTCACCAACTGCTGCTGCGTGCTCGGTGGAACCTGGTGATGACTTGAAGAAGAAGAAAGCTTATTTTTCTTCTTCCAGTGGGATTTCTTCTCCGCTTGGAGCAGGAGCTGTTTCCAGTCGGTGGGGTCGCCCATCTCAGCGTCGCTTGACGCGTTGGAACTTGCAGCTTCAGAGTCCATTGCTGCAGGAGCAATGGGCCTAGGCCCGGCTAACAAGTTTTTCTCTATAAGCTGGCGGCCAACAAATATTGCTCTTTAGGCTGCCGGCTAAAACTTTTCTCAATGAGTTGTTTTAAGAACAACTATGTTCAAGTAGCTTTGATCTCGATCAGACTTCAGACTTCAACTTCGTTGTAATCGTCTCGTCTGTCGCTGTCGTGTCCAACATCTGCTGCTATAGTAGTGCGGCTGTCGCTTGCTTCTGAAGAGCACGTATTCGCTACGCTAATTGCTCCCCCAACGCCAACCTGCAACTTTTCTACACTGCTAAAGTCATGTAATGTACTTATTACCACATCGCCAATTGTTGTGTACAGGGCTACTACACAATCCAACCATGCACTCCAACAACAATTACATTTATTTCACAATGGAGGGGCTCAGCGCCAGAAAGAATCCACACACATACAAAAAAATTGGTTTTGAGGCATTTGAACAGATCATGCCATTTGTTATGAGTACTAAAATCTTGTGTAAGTTATATCACCTACCATCTATAGGCAGTTATATAAAACCTCACTTTGTATGTTGGTAAGACTCTTAGTGCCAGTGGTCGCTATCCCACATCTATACAATACAATATTTAACCTATATTATGGCCTATTTTGGTTTGGTCTGTATGATGATATTGAGCATTATTTTCTTGTAGTACGCACAATTCATATTTACACACCAGACCAGGAAGCACACATTGCATAGTCATTTCGTGTTGTGGAAGTAAAGGAAGACTTTAAGGATTGTGAGACCATGAACCCAATAGTAATAAAAAAGGGAACATATAATGGTAATAGAGTAAACTTTTAGATCAGGAAAGTTTCTGCAAAGTAACTAAAGGATCAACTGCATTATTCTACAAGAATACCACATCGGAGCTGGAAGAATGGAAAGAAGTGGAATTGTTCAAGAAGATGCCCGGGAGAAGATCTAAATATCAAAGAGATCCTTCAGCTGTATCATCTTATATTACTACATTCATGGCTGGGCTACCTTTCTTGTTTCCTGCAGGAAGAGACATTGCTGCACGGAAACTACGAGATCTACAGTTCATGAGAGCTGTCATCTCACCACTTTACCAATGGTTTTATGATTAACTTAATCGCGCATTGAACATTCCAGTGAATATGTTGACGAAATATATTATTGGACACAGTGTTTGTAGTTCATACAGTGCTTTGAAATTATTCATTAGTTATACTGATGTACTTTCTAAAAGCAGATTTTTGTTGAGAAAAGTAAATAGATAAATATTTTTCAATTTCTAACATTTTCTATTAATATGCAATATACGGAAGACACTTTCAACTCAAAAAAGTAGAGTAACAATATAACATTTTTGAGAATATCCACTCTTGTAAAATGTTTTTCCCCATCAGATTGCATCAAATGTGGGTTAGCCCCTCTGGCACCAAGCCGAATCGTATCATTGCCGAGACGTCATACATTAGCCGAGTAATGCCCGTATAAGAGTGATCGCTACTCTACACTCGTCCACGGTGCGCCCTTGTGTCGTTTCGAAGAAGATACAGTGTTAATCTTCGATGCGCGTTAAAGGACTCGTGGGGGCAGGCATCGACGTGCGTCGACGTTATCAGCGTATGTGACGCGCGTCAACCCAACGCTCGTGTGACAGGCCTAAGACGGAGGAGCAGGGTAACTTCTTCCATCACCTTGGGATTCTGAAATGTACTAAAGATAGAATTATAGGCAAAATTATATACATTTTCCCCACTAATTAATTATTAGAATTATTTATCATTTGGATTTTGTTGTGTATGTACATGTAATTGTTAATTTATAATATATGATTTAAATTCTGCAAAAAATGTTCATTGTATATGTTCTTCCTTCCTGTAATCTCCTTTCCAGTTTGTAAACTCTTGTAAGAAAACAATACAGAAAATATTGAAAGGGGGGATTTGGATAGAATGTTCAAGTCTCCCGCCTCATTGCTTAGTTTCGTCTTGTGACGGTGACTGCGCTACGGTAGTTTTCATTTGACAATTTGGCCCATAATCGTTATAAGACGCTATTGGTCAGCAATGATAGGGAATGATTTCAGCAGAGTGGCAAATGGTGGCAAAATACTCTGAGTGGCAGAGAGTATAGAATGTTATGTGTGAGTGTGTGTTATTGAATTATTGAATGTGAGGTCCACAGGACTCCGTCTTCAGTGAGGAGTAAACTGGGAGTGAATGAGATAGTGTCCTGAATTCCAAATTCACCAGGTTGTGGCCGTTAAGATTGTGCCTTCTATCCCTTAATCTGTAGTGATATATTCTTTTGGTGATTGCCGTTTTATGTGCAATCTCGATTTTTAATGTGCGTTTCAAATTAAGAGGTGAAGTTTGTGTTTTGATTTTAATTTTGTTAAACTTAATGATTTGTGGACATCATAGCCAGTCATAACATTGTGGGATACCACACGAAGTAGCGAATAGTACTTCATAACCCAATTTTAATTAGAATTTCCGCGCGCGACGATGTCAGGACATGCTTTAGCTTCGTTAACTGCTACTTATACTGACTCAGAAGGAGAAGATGACGCTTTGGAAGAACAAAATGATAAGTCTCCAGGGGAAGAAAACAGTGCTCATTCTTCTCATTCCAATACTGGTATAGTTACACCTCCAGTTTCTAGAGCAGATGTTCGCGTTACAGTGCCTGTTACTGCTACTGCGACGGCTCGACTTGTATCATATCATGATGATACAATCGTGTCAGACGATGAGGGTAATATCGCCGACTTGAATGAACCCGAACGGCGGAAGTCCATTACGATAGAGCCCGAGCCAGAACCAGTTGTTGATGGCATACGCCTTTTTCCAGAACCACAGGGAAGATGCTCTAATGAACTTCAAGAGAAGATTAATCGTTTGCATGAGAAAATGCAGACCAGTGGTTTGGATATGAATCACGTTATACAGCACAAAAAGGATTTTCGCAATCCAAGTATTTATGAAAAGTTGATTCAGTTTTGTAGTATTAACGAACTTGGAACTAATTATCCTGCTCATGTTTATGACCCATTACGCTGGGGGAAGGAATCATATTATGAAGAATTAGCTAAAGTTCAAAAAGCAGAAATGGATAAACATGAGAGGGGAAAGAAAGGTGAAGAGCGTAAGGAAAAGACTAAAGTTGAATTTGTTTCTGGAACGGCCAAGCGGCCTGGTAGTGGCTCTGGTGCAGAAGATGAAGCAAAACGTCGAAAATCAAAGTGGGATCAAGTTGGAACAGTGATAGGTAGCAGTTTAGTTGCAGCACAACAGAACATTCTTAAGCCAGTAGGTCTTGTGCAGCAACCTTCTCTTACTTCAAGTGCAACTGGCACCAAGAGTACTGTAATATCAGCTTTTGGTTCCCTTCCCCGCAAACCTCGCCTGTGAGTTTGTGATCAAGGTCCTATACAAATCACCCTTAAAATTTTAGAACTTAGAATATTAATGTTATTGATAATTAATATTTAGTTAGTCATGTAATCGTGTATCAAAATAAATGTGCTACTAGTTGTAGCAGAATTTCTCAACTAAGCAGAATAGATGTGTCCTCAAAAAACTCAGAAATCTTGTCATGTTGTGAATGGAATTTGTCATTACTTTATGATTATTGCACTTTATATTAAATATAAAGCTTAAAAAAATTTCAGAAGTAATGTTAAAATAGTCTCTAAAGAAGTTTAAAGTTCATTGCAAAAGGTTGCTCCAGTTCCCAAACTATAAAGATATGGAAGGGTTATTGCTAGAAAAGGGACTCAACTATTTTATCAATAAAATAAATATTGCAATTTTTCTGGAAAATTTGGTCCTGATAAATAGTGATGTGGGCAAAGATTTTGTGAATAACCAACCTCCAAAGTAAATTCAGTAGTCCGTATTGGAATAGTTTCACTGTGGAGTTGACATACTTCTCACAGTACTGCATGTTACAGTCAGTCCTAAAGCAAAATCTTATAATTGTTAAACAGATGAGAAGCTGGTTAATTTTCATATTTTACTTACAAATTTAGAATGTTGAGAACCAATGAAATTATATAAAAATTGATAATCTCCTTTTCCATGAGAAATGTCACAAGTTTTGAAGTTTATGAAAACCCCTCTTAATGATCTGGCTTCACATTAGCAAGTGATTGCAGTAGCCGTTTGCAGTACTCTATATGCTGAAATGCTTACACTAGAGGTGCACTAATCACAAATTGCTCTGATGTTGCACATTTGTTAGCTTAATTAAGTGACAGGTGTATTTTGTGTGGCTGACAGTTACATAGCATCGGTGTTGTGAATAGTATCACAGTTCTGATTTTGTCAACATTTTGATACTTTACTATGAAAGCATTCATGTAATTTCATCTTATTAACCTGTATTATTATTAGGGCCTGGACTCATAGATTTTAACTTATTTTTTACTTCGTTATGTTATCATTTTGAATATACATAATCATTTCAATCTTTTGAGCCAAAAGCATGAATCCTGTAGATCGTAAAGAGAGCTAACATGAGTTGATCCTAAAAGAGGCTAAATCATAAATTTAATAAAGAGGTATGTGTTTGCAATAGCTTATTAGTTAGGGTTGTGTCACACAAGTGTTGTGTTGATGCACATTTAAGCAACACATAGATTATCACTGTATCTTATGTGGAACAGCCAAAGTGCTAGTGCGCTGTTTTGCGTAATATTTTTAATTCATTCTATGACTTGCATCAACGAAATGCTCATGGGCACGGGTCCTTAATTGCACATAAGTTATGTGAATCCTATTTGGCTGCATTTCACATGCTTAAATTTGATTTTTTAAAGAATCCTTGGCATGATATTTTGGGACACGGCTTCTCAAAATGATTTTGTTTGAATGTGAAGGAAATGCTTGTTTAAATATGATCTTATTAATTTTATGTGATTTTTAAGAAACTTTGAACTAATTTCAGAAGTGAAAAATTTAATTAAAAATATAGTAATTTAAATTGTGATTTATTGCAAATATTGTACAGCTTGACACTATCACTTTTAGGAAAAATTATAAGTACCTAAATGGGAAAAGTCATATTAAAAAGCCTAAAAAGACGTTTACAAACTCCTAAAAATCTAAGGCTCTATTGTTATTATTGTTATTATTATTATTAGTTTCCTAACTGTTAAGAGAATTGAGTTTTGAAGTTTTCTGTCTGCCTCTATGAGAGAGGTGGCAAAAACCTCCGATTTTGCACAGTGCTGCATTGCTTATTGAGCAATTTCTATAATAATTTGATGTTGCCTCTTAGAGGACTGTGCTATCATTTTGATGCATTGTAGCAGGTCCTTGATGGACTGCTCTTGTGAACATAATTTTATCATTTATTATGAAACATACAGACTGCCTACAGTATTTTAAGTGTTCTACAGATTTTTTTTATATCTTATTTTTTACGTATTTAAATCACAAAATAAAATTACGGAAAAATGCTATTCATAATTTATCTTTGCCACTGCTTGTCTGCTATGTCAGAAACTTTTTCAAATGCTGCCCTATACAATGTCAAACTTGCCAGCATCCACTACATAATAGAAACACATTTAATCTCGTCTATTGCTGGGACAACTTCTGGGAACAGTTCACATACTTGAAAAATGCGTAGTAAACAAGTTTCCTGCACTTGCTGCAGCTAATTAAAGAAATTCATGAAGCCATTTACTCTCAATTTCGCTGGTGCAAGCAAATTGTTAAGTAATTCTTCTTGCAGTGTAAAACCAGTGTTATAAATTAAATGTTTCAGTAATAAAATTAGATGAATTGTCAGTTATATCACAATTATGTTTTATGTTCACCAAATTCTGGAATATGTGGAAGAAATAAATTGGAGAATTTATGGGGTGAAATTCGTTCCGGGAGTGCAGTAACAAAGCTCTTGTATTATGTACAAACATACACATTTATTTCAAAATAAAATTAACAACATACTTAATATTATTATTTATACACATCTCTCCCATTATTCAGCACATTGCTCTATAGATAGTATGTCTACTTCTTACAGGCAACTTCAAAAAAGTTAATAATACAGGGGACTGTGCATGAACACACACAAACAAAATTCTAGAAGCAGAACCCCACCCACAACCAGGACGTTCTTCTTTTTATATACTTACTGTAAAGGTACTAATTGCAAGAGAACAACATCAAATAGCTCCATATATACATTCATAACATAAATTTTGCACTGCGATTTGATCTTTCATTGTTTATAAAAAGTTGAAAGTAACAAAACAAGAAAATTGTGAAATGCTCCTTATATACCAATAGGACGTTGTGGAAGACACAAATTGTAAAATGCACCTTTCTTCCAAAAATTTATGCCTTTCCAGCCACACCAGCCTTTATTTTGCACTACAGTTAAATCTTCTCCTCCAGTGTAATGTGGATCGAGGATCAGAAATTTCAGATCACCTGAATCACGGTTGAAATCGACCCCAAGAATAGTATGAGCCAGAACTCCCCCACCTGTGAACAAATATATCCATTTCTTTATTTTCAACAAGTTTTCAGTGATTTAACATTGTATTTTCAACACTGAGAAATTTCAGCTGTTCAGACAAAATGAACTTTAAAATTTTATTTCATGAATATCTATGTTTGTACTAAAGACATTGTCTCTACTAAAAAAGAAAACAATTTCAATATTATTTACGTTCTTGTTCTCATAAAATAAAATTTTATTCATTAATTTATTATTAATTTTATGTTCTTAAGGTTATTATTTTACATTGTTTTATTTACAATCATTTTTTCTTCTTAAATATCAAGATTTTCTGTTTTTCATTGTCAGGGTATTAGAAGCGAACACTCACCGATCATGATGGGAGTTCCCTGAGTGCGGAAGTGCATGGCCAGCTCACCACCTCGCAAACCCAACTCCTCGCCTGAGCTTACACTGATGATGCGAGAAGTGATGCCCAGCATGGCCTCCAAGCAGTAGCTGACTTCAGTGGATCCAATCCATTGGGAAGACCCAATGAAGGAGGGAGGCTTGTCCCCAAGCTTGACAAGGCACTCTTGGATTTCATGGTGTGAGGGTGGGTCCCTTGCTGTGTATCCTTGCCACCTAACAACCAAAACAACATTCTAGAAACTGATTTAAAGTTTAAGTATCCTGTCTGTGTTCTGTATGGTTTACATTCTACATTAAATAAAATATAAATTAAAATTTTAGAAAAACTCAAATTTTTTTACGCTTGTTATATATATCAAATATAGTAGTCTGAAAAATGCATGTATTACTTAGAAACAAGTCTCTGTGTTTGGAAGTAAGAAGAAATAATTTGTTATACTTTAATTGTTCAAATAAACATAGAGCTTTCTTAGTCAATGAGAATAATGTAATATCTCACCTAAACCAGGACACAATTGTCTGAAGAGAGCGATATGCACAACCCCATCCATCATCATCAATACGATCTTGCATATAATGATGGTAACTGTAAAGCCCTTGTACAACAGAGACTTCACCACCTTTAACTAAGAATGAATGGTTTAATTACTTTTGTAAAGCATTCAACACGAGTGTACAATGGCAAAAACTTTATTTTCTATAAAATCATTTCTATATTTTGAAAACTCTTATATGTCTCACCTCCAGATGATCCCAAACCTTCATGCGGATTTACCAGCAACTTATTTGATTGTTCAGACCGGAAAACATATGCATTACCTTTCCGGAAGAAGGGTCGATCTTGGGGGAGGCCAAACTCCATATGTAAAGCTTTCCGATACGAAACTAAAATAAAAATAAATTAAAAGTTTAATGCAGTAATGTTCCAGTTTTAAGGACTCATACAAATTTTTAATTACACATTTCCAGAAGGAGAATAACCATTTACTCCCTTTTTTACCATGATTCCCATTTGGGGATTAAGTTTTATACTCGGTACTATTTACAAGAAGGTTATTTATAGCAGTAGTTACTTGTGTACCATGGTTAAATGAATGGTTGATAAGCAGAAACCGGTAACTCAGATTACATTTGTTTTCTCTGAGCATTTGTAAGAAGTGTTCATGAATGCAGCGTGAACGTGTGACAAAATATTTATTTCCAGAGAACTGTTCATTTGATGCACTTGTAAGTAATAGTATTTCTCTTTGATATATTTGAGATTATTACTGAATTACAAGCATGTTATTTTGTCTATTACGAATTTAAAAAAATATTTTTATTGATAGCCATTTGGGGATTGTGGCTGATGCTATGTATATTTTTTTCGTTAGACATTCTGGCATCATCTTGTGTTTTTCTTTCTTGCAATGGGTTCCATGCGATATTATTTGCTTTATCAATTGGATGAGGTTGTTAACAACCCTGATTTCTTCGGAGACAGTGACAGTGATTGTGACGGTATTAATATCTTAGAACTTCCACCTGACTACATAGGTGTCGTTACCGATTAAAATATTTTAGAAGGGCATCGTTTGAGGGAGTCTGGCTGATGGATGTGCGTGATCAGGTGGAAATTCATTCTAGCGCTATAGCATAATTCGGAGGTTCAAGACGAAACTAGCAGACTGGCAGAAAAGGAGGACAGATGTTTAGAAAAAAAAATGGATTACATGAAGACATCCTGTCAATAAAAGAAAAAATGATTGAAACTCTCAATGCATAATCTCCTGTTGAAAGTTTCGATAATTTTTTCAATAATGATGTAACAGAATTATCATGGAAGAAGGAAAAAAAAAGTGTAATTTATGCTACTCAAAATAACAGGCATAATTGCACATTCAAGATAGTGTCTGAAAAGTTTTTGGTTTCCTGATGTTGACTGGTTACTATTCTTTGCCCCAGATGATATGTGTCCAAAGCGTCAGAAAATGCTTTACAAGAGATACAATGAAATTAAGAGAAACAATCATTTCAATGCCAATAGCAAATTAGTAATGTTGTCTCTATGAGATGAGTCATTCCAAATACAATACTTCCCCTTATAGAAAAACTTAACAATGGTGCATTATTACAGACATCATTATTTGAAGCAATTCACAGAGGGAATGCACGTTGACAATGTTTATATGATCAACTGTAGGACTCCATGTACAATGTCTGGCTATATGTCACAAATAGTCTTTATTGTGTTATGTTTCATTAACAAAACTATGATATTCGAAAATATGTTCTATTTTTGTTCATGACATCTGCCATGATCCCCAATTGGGGATTGACTAACCAAATCCAAATTTTAGTCAATAGACAAGCTCATAAAATAAATGCGACAAAGATACAAGCTTTTTTTGGTGTAAATGACAATATTTAAGTGGAAATAACAAAAATAAAAATGTGGTAGGTAAAGGGTTAATTATACATTCTTTTCAAAACTTATTCTTAATTAGTTAATTTTTACAGTATTTAAGAAATGAAAGAACTCATGAAAGGTCTTTTGTCTTTTCCTGGTAGCACTGTTGAAGCATCAAGCATTTTCATCACCAAGTACTAGTATTTATGTAAAATATTTATTTAAAGTAAGTTTCAAGTTGTATTTTTAACCACACTTACCTAGGTTGTTTTTTGTTACTTAGCAATCAATAGTTCTTTTTTGTTCGTAATTTCTATCCCGCATTAACACGTGAAGTACCAAATTTTGAAAATGCACAAAAATTGTTTCTGTGTCAAGTTTTGTTCTAGAAATGTGTCTGGTATATTATTTCTTTGGAAAAACAAAACAAAACAAAACAAAACAAAACATAAAGCAAGACATATTTTGTACAAATACAATAAAACTGATCAATAAAAGAGGATCATGGTACTGGGTAAGTAAAAGAAGAAAACACTTGAAACAAAAAAAAAATGCAATTCAGAATTTATTTGAGTTATTATTCAAACTTCCTTTTAATACACTTAATATGTCAGGTGACATTACATTTATCACATTGTTTTTTGCAATGCTCACCTTTTACTTTTCCCCGCGAAAGTTATGTATTGGTGTGCGAGATAAAATTTTCTGCAGAATAACTTAATTACAGGGTCCTGGTAACGAAAAAGAGCAGGATAAATTCAGTAGCTAAATTTAGGGGGGGAAATCCTTTATCACATGGTCTATTCAGTATCCATGTTTTGTGGGTCCTTGATACCAAAACATTGTATGACTGCAAAATGTCTATTCGTCCATCTAAATAACGCTAGCAGCTAAACTGTTGTGCCAATTTTCTCCAAAATTGATCTTGCTGATGGCCCCTTGAATTTGAACTCATGAAAGATTCTGGTCTTAAATTTGATCACATTTTTACATGAAGTCCCTGGATCATTTTCCAAATTTTCAAAAAAATTGCTCAATTGTTTTTGATTAAATTTTGTTGTTGGATAGTGTGAAGGGCATTGAAGAGAGTGATGCAGGCATCATGTTCATTGAAAATCTTAATTTTTAGAAAATAACGATGTTCAAAATTTTTTCAGAGCCTTCCTACTACTAAAAGATTAAAGATAAAGAATTCTCCCTCAATGAAATTTTCTTTAAAGATAGATTTTGAAGTATCGTCATACATGTTTTTTCAAATATTTGAGCTCTTTTCACGTAATTTTGTTTGAAAAAAAAAGGGGGGGGAGGGGGAGAAAGTACATGCAGTTTAGCACCATTAGTTTTACTAAACAGACATGGTATGGTTTACATTTTCTCAAGCTACTGATTGTTATACGTATTGGGAAGTTAAGGAAGTGCAGTCTGGCTTTTTATTAGGAGCAATGTCACTGGTTAATTTTTACACTAGTGCCATATATATTGATTAGCAATGTCTACACAGATTAAATTGATAAGAAAGAAATGCAATTCTCTCCTCATATTGGATTTTCCATATAGACCTATTTCTTCTCTCCCAGCTGAACCTAGTGTGTGTGCGTGCATGTGTGTGATTGAAGAGTTGTCTTGTGATCTTTCTCTTTCTTTAACATTCCGTTCCAATTGTGTTACATACTTTAGATTTAAAAGTAATTACATAAGAGTTGTCCATCCAAATTACAACGGTTTTTTTGAAGTACAGTAAAATCTGCCTATACTGGAATTGATAGACAAAAAATAATTTCAGTGTAACGTTTCTGTTTTATGTAGTGTTGTTAACTTTATGACACTTACATTGATATTTCCATTCTGAACGTAGTAAATTACAAGACTATTGACATGTCTGACACACCATATAGCTATGCGTCGCGAGTAGTACAACTGCCCAGTTATGTAAAAGTCTCGATTCGAAAAGAGAAAAAATTTGTGTACATTATTACAAACAAAACTCACCAAGTTGATCATCACTTCTGCCTTCAGGTAAAGCAAGAGTAAGGAAATGACTGCAGTCTGCAGGTAAGAAATGCAACGGTTTTGGCAGAGAAATATTGACTGGTGCATCTGGACCACCATCTTTTGCTGCCAACACTTGTTCCAGAAGGCAGCTCTCAGTCAGCTTAAGATTTCGACATACACTCTCCACAAGAACTGGATAGAGTTCCATCAGTTTTGCTGATCGTGGTACCATTGACAAAGCATCCACATGCAACCATACTTGCAAACATGTATAGGTTTCTGTCAATAAAAAATATATAGTATACAAGATCAACATCAGCCTGCGATATATAAATCTTCAGTTTAGAAATAAATTCTTCAATAAAATTATAAAAAATATTTAATTTCCAATTAATTTTTTCTTAAAGTTTTACTTTTGATATGTTGTATGACAGGAGCTGCTCTAGGTTGATCATTATCACGAATCTCCCGGGTAGGCTTCATTAGCAAGGTTGCACTAACTATATCCTGCAAATTGAAAATAGCAACCCGTAGTTTAAATTAGTTATACAGAAAGAAAGAAATTCCTTTAAAAATGGATACAAAACCTTTTACTTACAATACTTTTCCGTAAATGTGACTGATCGTGTTTTCGTAATCGATTGCTCTCTTGAATCCCACATTTTTCTAGCTGCAGATTGAAAAGATCACCAACAGTTTGATTCCCTGGGACACCAGTTAAACCTCCTTCCACATCCCCACCCAATAAAAATATACTTTTCAAAAAACAGAAAGCCACAGTTCCTGAAGCAACCTGGAAAAAAAGTATTTCAAAATGTTTGCTATGTACCATAAACAGTTTTTCAAAAATTATTACCCACCTGTCATGAATCAAGAGTAATTTCAGTTGTCTTATAATTGTAATTTTTAGATCTCATGTGGACTTCACATAATTCTGCTTGTGAGCTCATCATAATTGGCCCCATTTTTGCATTCTGAAATACTAAACGGCCATAACTTACCTGCTACTTTTAAGGTAATTTACGTATGTAAATATGTTTAACACTAATTTGCTTTAAAGAAAATTCTTTAACAAAGGCAATAGATAAAAAAAAAGAATGTCAATTTTCACTTCATTTCATTTAAAGCAAAATTAAACAGATATAATAGTCTTTGAGTCAAATAAAATAATAACCAAATTGCTCATGTGTTTTAAACAATGAAAAATACTAAGAATACTTTTTTAGTCTATCTTTTAATTAATTACATTTGTGTAGGTTTAGCATCCATATGGACTTAACAAACTTATACTGAAAATACATTTACCATTTCCTACTTTCAAGATACTTTGAGCATAAACTTACCTTTTTGTGGAGTGATTGTATAGCATCTTTAATAGCATTGTGTTCAAGGTCACATACCAATGGTAACCGAGAACATAAACGTACATGAATGAATTCCTGCCACAGAGTTGCTTCATTCACAACATCATATGGTGTCTCAACTAACTTGTCATGGACATAGAAATAAGTATGTAACTCAGAGGTGCCATCCGAACCAAGAGAATACATCATAAGCAGGGGATTGTCCGTTACATCAACATCCTATATCAATAATAATATAATAATAATATTATTAGAAAATACTGCCAAGAAATAACTTTATCCAAAATGAAATAATTAACAAACCTCCAGGATTTTTATCACTGTAGCATGATTTTCTGGATCGGCTATATCTTCTGCAAAAGTTATCAACCCACACAGATCAACTTCTGTGGGTAAGTTATGGATCCTAGACTTGTAATTTTTCTGTGTTTTTTGTAATACCTCATGAGTACTTTTTTCATTAAAACACAGTTCTATGTTATAACCCACTACTAAAAGGGTACTCTCATACATAAGACCAAACAGACACCCTGTTGATGTTTTTCTCACAGATCCCAGGTGCTGTAGAGCCACATAAATGGTATTTATTTCATAATCATCACTGATCACAAGAAGAATCAGTTAAAAAGTTTAAATTAAAAACAACAACAACACGTTTTCCTAATTCTGCAACGGTTAAAATTAAGAAGAGCATTTTCAATGGTAAGCGGGAAATACTGTGAAACAAATGTTGAGGTTATTTCAGATTTTAAAAACATTCAAAATATTGAACTATACTATACGATCTTACACTGATCAGCGAATTGGTTATCTTCAAACGGGGTGTCATAATGATCAATTTCACAATTTCATCAATCGACAACAAACGTCAAACAACTGTCACGTATGCTACTATGCTGCGTTGAATTTCCTTCAAATCAAACGTCGTGGCCGGTCCAGGCAGGTCCTGGGCAGGTCCCTTTGTGGTCCTCGGTCAACCAGGCTCCGAGTCTGCTGAGCTGGTGAATCTGGTCATCCGCAAAGGAGAGTGGCAAGCTGGTGGCAAGGCAACTGGTGGCATCCAAGAGGGCTAAGAGAAATACTTAATGCTTTAGCCTCGAGTAGAGGGCTCGCTTATTGTATTATCATGGTGATAACTTCAGCCCAATTATAAGCATGCCCAAGCAAATTGTTGCCGCAATGTTAATGTGCGTTCCCTAAAATTACGGTCTATTCAGTGTACTGAGAGTACACTATATAACTTTAACCATGATTATGACATGTTAAACGATGATGATGATGATTCACTGTGATTGGGAAGGTATGGTTACCAAGAAGAAAGAATCAAAAGGCTTTGAAATAAGGACGGTCGTTTAAAACTATTATCTCCCTTATTTACGATGGCTTACGAGGCTATTAAGAATATGAAATTGAATATACAATTTAAAATTAGCGAATATAAAATTAATTCAGTGCCAAAGAGTCAATTTCATTCATTATCAGTCAAGTCATTATTTTGTTGAATATCGGGCTTTATCGGCAATTTAATGAACTAATATTAACTACTCTCTGCAAAACGAATTATTTTACACGAAACTCTTGTTATTTTGTTAGAAGGGTAATGTAAGTAATTAAAAATTAGTAGGGGTAATATATTTTATTTGATCAATCTCGTTATCCTGAGTTTAACACGCCTCCTCACGGTCTAGTCTATAAACAGACATGAAATCATCATTTTTTATTTGTGAAAGTACGTCCATCGCAGCCAGAAACGATGGGTGTGGCCAAGATTATTACATATACAATCGGATTCTTCTCCAGAACTGTCGAAAGTATGTTTGAATTCTGAAAACGTATTTCCCTAACAAATGTCAGTAAAGTTGACAGGAATCAGAAAGAAGACACGACATATTTTGTTTCGTCAAAGCAAAACAAATGCAAGAGAAATGCGTTCGGCAATACGATGATGGTGGAGTGGAGCGGAGTGGAGGAAGCACGGCGAGTGATCATCTGGGGGGCTTTGATATCACTATCGTCTGGGAAAATGTAAAAATGGCAGTCGTGTGGAGGTTGTTAACTTGAATCAATGAAACGAAATCACCAATACCTACACCTGCAATGTCCCGTTTGGCGGATTATTTTGTTATAGTTGGATATGACCATGAAAAAGAAAGTAAGTATTATTGTATTACCGCGTCGTTCTTAACATGCGGCCTCTATAATCTTGCTGTCATTTTGAGAGGTTGTTCGTCCGGCACTCTGTTTTCTTGAAAAATATGATCGTGAAGAATGTGTTTCTGCTTGAAAGATTTTGCGAAAAATAATAGTGATTTATTAATATTATTTACGTATAAGTGCGGTTTTGTGACGTTAATTTGTTAGGGAGTAATTTTAATTTCAGCAAAGTAAGCTAACAAGTGGTTCTTTAAATTAATTAGATTAAGCTTTTTGATAACCTTTATGTTAATCCTTGTATAGGCTTGCATATTAATTTCTTTTTCTAATATGAATTGTATTAATAGTCGTTTTTATTGTAATGTTTACATAAGTTCAAAGTTCAAACCTGCAACAACAGGACATATCTCAGATATTCTCAATTATTATATTTTCATTCAAGCAAACCCTCCCCCAAAAATTTTTATGTTTTATCATGTTTTGATGGTAATTTTCGCTCTGAAAGAATATGCTTTATTTGGTTGTGAATTCTGTATTTGATATTTGTTACTTAAACTTCATATAAAGAATTGGTTGTATTGGTGAGACGAGGGATTAACTAAGTGTAATTGTTCTTAGGGAGTGGGACAAGTAGTGGCATTATACTTCAGAGATTTCCTGAAAAGGATTGGGAGGACACTCCTTTCATTGAAGGAATAGAGTGGGTGAGTAAAAATGTTGCAGTTTAATAAATTCTACATTCAAATAAACTCTATGTTTTCTTAGTGGCATTTTATAGCGAAACATGTTTGCTCATAGACCGATGAACATCAAGTCATTTTAAATGTTGTTTATATTTCCTTTCTTAGTTCTGCCAACCTCAGGGATGGGCTCTATCTACTGAAAGACAAGAACCACGCTTTTTTGTGTCTGTATTTACTGACATTCATGCCAATCGTCATTACTGTGCCTGTCTCTGCTTCAATGAAACTGTTGCAATTACTCCCAGCAAACCTGTGGATGAGGTATTTACAAATTTAAATTCCTCTTATTTATAGAGTAGAGATAATAATATAATTATGTGAAAATTCTGTCTTTTATTTCAGTTTCAGTGTAATGTATATTTAACTGTGACATTCATTAGTAGACGTGTAAAAAACTTCTCTATTTTGTACAAGCACTTAGAAAAAGGCAGTAAAAGCTTGTACTGTATGAACATTGTATTAAATTTAATGCATTGTTGGAGCTTTGATATTACTGTACTAGATACTGTAAATAATCAATAAGATTTTTTTGTTAGGATAAGACTAAAAATAATTTGTGAGAGAACATTTGATTTAGTTAAGATTGTTAATTTATATTGAAAACATGTAAATGCTTTGCCCACTTAACATTATTCGGAAATTGGGGACGTACACAAAGATCAAATATTTCATGATTTGCCATTGTGAATTTAGCCATTAATAATTGCTGTGGATTACTAGTAGTATTATCACTTTTATGAAAAAAGTGCTTTTTCAGTTCTATTGTTGTTGCATTTGCATGTAATAAATATAATAGTTAAAGTTTAGTATACGGTACACCCTTAGAGAAGCGTGGCGGTGGGGCCCTAATTACTGTATGTACTCTAATTGAAATGAATAAAACTTATGGTTAGGTGATTTTCATGGTTTGCCCTTCATATGCTTTGTCCCCGCCGCATTGTTATGCCAATTTACTTTCAAAGGCAGGTTCCCTCGCTTCGCTCGCCTGGATCCAAGTCACAGCGAGGCCCTTGCGTTCACTATAAACATCCTTGAGTCTATCCAACATATAATTTAAAATTCGCTTTTATAAGACATCACTTTTTAAGAAAGCCTCCAGAATTTAATTGCCTAGTTTACGCTGGAATGGTGTGAAGTGCTGGTTTAAACAACTTCCTTAGGTTGTACTGTATACTACATTTCAGGCAATATAATAAACCTTTAAAGTTATGTTCATAGGTTTTGTTAGAGTCGGTATTAAGGTTGTTCTAGTCACCTTCTTTCCTCTTGACCTCATTTATATACTTTCTGCTTGGAGTACTCTTACTTGCCTTCCTCCTCGATCTCCTGCTCGTCTTTTTTATTTTATTTTTATTGTTTTTCATCTGCAATATTTATAATAAGTAATAATAGTGGAAATAGGTTGTATTTATGTTCTAATCTTTTGCAAGGAGGAGGATACGGTTGATGGAGATGGTGGGACATTACCTGGGGCATTGGCCTCAGCACGGAGCATCCCCACAATCACACACCACAGTATTATGTATGCTCCGAAGTGCTTGGTGCTGGTGTCCAGATTGGACTATATTGAGACATTCAGAGTGAGTTCTTTGTTTTGATGTAAAAAAGAAATTAATCTTTTATTTATGCTTGGGAGAATTTGGATATAAAGGCTTAGTTAAAAGGAAAAAATCATACTTTGAAGATTTAACTTTTTTTTAAAGAAAGTAGGTAATTAGAAGTAAGGACACCGACATCTGTCTATGTGAATATTTACTAGTTGTTCTATTTAGGATTAATGTAAATTAAAAATTTGTTTAATAATAATTGAAAATAAAAAATTGTAATTGCCAAGTTTTAATATTAAGTTTTTAATAATAATAAAATTATAATATTTCGATTTTTTTCTAAATGGTATATGTTTTGTAATTTTTGAAAATGTTACTATTTTCGATAAACCTATTTTTCTTACTTGCCAAGTTTCCAAATTAACGAAATATTTACTAAATAGTGGTGCTTGAAAATAGCTTAGGTTTTTGTTTTATTTGTAATGACTATGATGATGATGATGATGATGATGACGACTGTCCCCTAATTCTGGGTGCTGAATTTTTTGTAAAGCTGATTTTTGCATGATAAATGAAGAATTTGTTAAATGTAATTGAGCTGGTCAGTTTACGATGAAATGAATCTAATACTGTTGATATTTGTATATTCCTTTATATAAAATTGTTTGAGGTTAAATATAAGCTTTGAAGATAAAAACTTCAGTCCTTCTTGGATAATAATATTTCCAATCTCGTAAATAATGTAAAATGACTTGGTGTGAATCTGAAGTATTTGATTTGTTGTCAATTTGCTCTTTATATTGAGGAGAATGAAGTTTATTTGGGAATTGGTTAAAGTAGAGAACACAGTACACCCTCGTGAAGCAAGTGATGGAAGGAGGAGGGAATGAGAGGAAGTAGAAAGGGGGGTCCTTATACTCTCCCTCTAACATTATGGAAAGCGCTCCGAAATAATGATTAAAACTTACCATGTGCAGTTCCTGCTTTTTTTTTTATTAGTTTGAGACACCCCGTAAGGAAAGGCCAGAATATTTTATTTTAGTTTTGCTTCTCACATGCCACGTCCCTATCACATAGAACACTTTGGCACCTGAATTACCTCTTTGTTACTTCACATCCACTTGAAGCTATCACACAACTCATTCCAGTTGGCCAACCTCATCAGACATTTGTACATGTAAATCCATGGTTTTGAATTCACTCAATTGTAACGAAACACCCACCCTTCATGGCATCACTTATAATGAGTCACGTTTATTTTCACCACTGTAACACAAACCCTCAATGATGATAAAGAATCAGAAGAGCACAAAAAATATAACTGACAGAAACTTAACTAACCACTTTGTCAGGTACACCGACCTACACAAAGAAAGCATATAAAACTGCAAAATTTCTGCTAAGCAACTTTGCTTCAATAGATAGAGTAGTTTCTGAAGTTGCTGGCTGTTTCTATAATTTGTTAGAATTCATGAATCCCTACCATGTGATTCTTGAGTGTGTAGGATTATGGCAGAAGCATTTTAGCTTTTGAGATTTTTATCTTGGACAACTACATTCTTTCTGTGGTCTGTCTTTTTGTACTTTTATTTAATGAATTCCTCAGTGTGAGCCGAGTACTTGGCTGACTAAGCTCTTGAATGGGAAAAACACAGAAACAGGAAAGTTGCTGCAACTTATGTCTGGACGGTCGCCTCCACTGCAGTCTTGATGCGCGAGGTATGGCTGTCTTGAAAGGTGACAATAACACATGGTTGCCAAATTGCCAAAACAAGAATAAGTGCTCTGAGACAATATATATCTATCTCTCTATCTGTATCTATATACCTCTCTCTTTATATACACCTACCAATGAGTTAAATCCATTTTAAGTGTTTCAGAAACACAAACGTATATTGCCTCACCATCTCAGAAATAAACCAAACCTGATTCATTTCCTTGTGTTTTAGTTATTTTTTAATTTGTTTTAATGTTTGAAAACATGTTTTAAATTTGATTTATTGCACCTAGTTCACCAAGAGTGATGAATTTTAAGCCATATACTATTTCTCATGTAAGTTTTTTTAATTTTTTTATTACTGTGAATCATTCTATTTAGTCCTTTTTATGATCTGGGTCAGAACATGAGATGATCTAAAAAATTAAGGAAAATAAATTTTTTTATATTTTTCTCTTCCATTATTTTGATTGTAAGTGCCAAAATCGGCCTCAAAAGATTTTTATCGTCTATAGAAAATGGCAAGAATTAAGTCCATATTCATAGCCGTAATATGATTCAAATAATTTAAACCTATATCTTTTTACTTAGCAGTTTTTTTACAGCTTTGGCCATTTTCTGCATCCCAATTTCCATCCTATAGATTGTTTTCCTCCATTTTTCTTTTTGCCGTGGCTTCAGTTATTGCCATGTTCCATGTTCTTTTCAGTCTTCCCCTGTATCTTCTTCGATTTGGTATCCACTCCCAAACTTTTTGTGGAAGTCCGATTTCAACCTTCTCATATGTCCATACCATTTTAGTTGTTTCATTTCGTTCACCTCGTTCAAGGTTGTTTGCACTTTCATTTTATTTCTTATTTCATCATTTCTTAAACCTTTATAAAAAGCTAAAAAGTTTTTTTCATTTGTAGGAAGTACTTGGGATAAATTGATTTAAATTTGACGAAAACATTTTTTTTAAAACTTCCATTATGAGTTTCAAAGTAAAAAAAAATTATCCCCGGGTGCAGATTTGCTATCTTATTCTGCTATCCGTTTGTGAAGGGTCAGTAATGGGGTTAGGATGAATGTAATGACAGTTCAGTATTGAGCTCAGACCTTTCTTTGCAACTGCCATATGGAGTTGCTTCTGCCATGTATCGTTAATATAAGGGATATGCCCAAATGTCTTTATTGCACAAAAAAAAAACAACTCATGCTGTTGATGAATTTCTTCTTGGGTCTTCCTTCCTTGTAATGTTTTATTTGTTTTATATTATTTAAAATATCTAAGACTTTTTTTTGTCCATTCACCATGCAGTAACACATTTTCAGAAACTCAAATTTTTATATAGGCAGATATTGCAGGCTGCAAATTTTGGAGCCTTTTCTCTAAAAACTCAGAGTACTCACCTATCGAACCAAAATCTAACTGACAAAGGACGTAAAAATGTTAAAATTTCACAAACAAAAATTTTGTTAACCACAATTTTTTTGAGGCAGATCTGTAGGTTGAATGTGTGTAAATTATTGCTTTCAGTGCTGCTTGGGTATCATCTACACAGTGTATGTGGAGAGCGTTGAGGTGCCTTTGGAAACACTGGTGGGCAACATCCTGGGCTGCATTCAAGTTCCACCTCCTGGAGGACCCCAAGTGCGCTTCAGCATTGGGGCTGGTGATCGACAGGCCTTGCAGCCACCATTATCGCCCTCACTTCCTGTTACTCACACATCAGTGCACCTGCTTTTTCAGCAGTTAGGTAAGTTTCATTCTAAAGTGAAATGAAATATATTCTTTGATTGTTTTAAAACTATATTGTGTATTTGATATCCTTCATAATAAAGGGGTTGGACAAAATCGTATGATCATGTTTTGAAAGTTAGATGCAGTGCATTAAAGGATTTTTGTCTGCGGCAGTCACCACAAGGGATCAATGAAATGTATGGTCTCTCAGACTTTGAAAGAGGGCAAATTGTTTGTCCACAGTTAGCGGGATCATCTGTGACAAAAATAGTTAAATGTTTCAGGAGCGACAATGTCCATGGTTAGTACAGTATACACAAAACACGGTTAAACATCATTAGATAAGAGGGGGCCAAAGCCAAAGTTAACTAATGGAGGCAGATGAATATTAAAAAGGATTGTGGCTAGCCAGTGTAAAATTACTATGGCAAAAGTAATTTTAGCTGAATAATTCAGAATAATGCAGAGTAATTCAGTGGGAGTTTCACAAAGCTAACATTCATGGAAGGGTTGCAATTATGAAACCCATCAAAATGGAAGCCAACGCGAAGCTGGAAGAATGTGGTATGGTCTGATCAATAATCATTTATATGATTTTCTTATAACGGACAAGTTTTTGTTTTGGGGAACTCCAAAGCAAGACCCGGCCTGCCTGCTTCCTATTGTCAAGCATGGAAACTTTCACTATGCTGCCAGCAGTATAGCTCTGAAGAAAGCCACAGCAAGATGGCCGAAACGTCAGCACAATTGAGCGTGATGCCCGTCTCTTCCCGGTTAGCCAAGAATGTATTGACTCCGGCCGCGGAAGCTTACGAACGCATGGTCCTACTATTACCCACACTGGCGGGATTACTGCAAATGTATATCTCGAAGTCAACAATGAAGTACTTAAAATGACGTAAGATTTTGTCGCCAAAAACTGCATTATGCCAAGATGATAATGCGCTTTGGGCTTGGTAACCTAACCGCCCTTACTCTTCTTAATAGTTGATGTAAATGCCCACAGTCCTCTTCGGGGCTTTTCACGCACTTGTTCGAGGGGCAGACACATTGGAATCTGTTATAGGCATCTCGAATTTTGATCTGAATTCAGGTGAACAAACTCGCTTCGCCACAGCCACAAATTCTAGCATGTGACGACCGGAGTGGAAGCGACCATTACCTATCACCCTCCTTGATGGACTTGGTCCTGGATTGGTTCGACCCCCTCAGTGTACAACATGCTCACTGGCAAACATTTCAAGCGGATATCAATCTCTCAGAGGGTGACTTCGACGACGTAGATGATATGGTAGCACATTTTAAGAGTGGTGCACTACAAGCTGAAGCTATTGCAATCCTCAAATCGACGGGTAAACCGGGACCCATCTTTGTCCCTTAGTGAAAGTCGAAGTGCTGAAGGGCGGACAGTGCCTGTAAGAAGACGCTGGCACGACTGAAACTAACCGCGGGTAATCTAATTGAATACAAGAGGTTCAGACCGAAGGAGAGAAAAAGTATTTTAGAAAGTGAAAAAAAAAATCATTGTGGAGAACTTACGTCTCCTTTCTCAATCGCCGTGCGCTAACACGCCGGGTATGGAGAAAGGTACGTCAAATCAAAGGATATTGCCCGAAACTCAAGGTCAAATCATCTTAAGAATGGAGAGATAATTACGCCTTGAGACGCCTTTCTAGAGGAATTTCCATCTCATGAAATTGAAAATCCATCGAGTTCTGCGAACTATGCTCCAGTTTTTCTTTTCTTCTATGAAATAATGTAAATTCACTCACTGAATTTCTCGAGCAAAGCACATGCTTAAAATACCCCTTAAAATACGTGCTAAACTCCGTTACTGGCCTTGCACGGTAACCTTACGGTTGGACCCCTGGGGCAATCCTTTGGGCAACATTTAAACTCATGTTTTCGGAAAAAACTAAATCTGCCATGCCTCATAAAAGTCTACATACAATTTTTGGATTTATTTTGTAACGAGAACTTCTGGACACCTGTAGATTCTTATATACAAATGGTTCATCGTACAATGGTCCGTCGTACAGATGGTACATCGTAACAGTAGCGCCGAAATATTACTTTCAGAATATTATAGAAGAGTAAAACCCTCTCCTAAAGGGAAATTTTCGTTGAAAACTCTGGAGCCAATTTTAAGAAAATGGAGTTTGTGCGTTACTGCAAATTTGAATTTTGAAGCTTTTTCACAGAAACATTTTGAATTTCGCGCCCGGAAGTTATATTTAAACTCGATTTTCTCAAAGACCATTTTTGTCGGTAAAACTTGATCTGCCATTTTTAAGAAAGTCAATTCCTGAAAACGCCTGATAAACAAGAGGACTACTAGTCTGTTTGAGAAGATTGGAGAGTCTGAGGTCAATATTGGGGCGGAGAAGTTTCCAAAGGGGAATGGAGTTTCAAGGGGGTTTCAGTGAAGTGAGGAGATAGACATTAAGGTCCCGCAAAAATTTCGAAAGCGAATACCTGAAGACTGAGGTAGCGATATCTGTAGATTACACGTTGTGTAATTTTAAGGACAGATAATTATTCGGCGACAAGGATGGCCAAAGAGGCCTCATACTTTAACACTTTAAGACGTTATTAGATTATCCCGTACATTTTTAAGGATTTTTCCAGCCTCAGCTAGAAAGGCACTCGATTCGGATTGTGCGATATGCACCTGTTGGGAGGCGGATACCAGCGTGGAGTTAGCTGATGATGGGTCGGAGGAAAAGCAGATCCACTTATTACCCTAATCCAAGACAAAAGATGAGTGTTCTATATAGACGCAATAGGTCAATGTGGTCGGCTCACCATGATGTACTCCTCAATCTTTACCTCCTTTGAGCACTGGGACGATGAAGGCTTATCGCCATGAAGCACGTATCGCCGTGGGCACTTCCCAGATGCGGTCGTCAAGCGGGAGAAGAAATCGCGTGTTTGTTTCGGGAAAATGTAGCATTAGGTTGTGAATTTTGTCTGAACCTGGAGCGGTTCTTTTCGCGAGCAACATAGCAGAGTGCGTTTTACTCGTGGAGAACGGGGTATGAACTCTGTAAGAAATGGACCTTTTGAGAACTTCAATAACTATACTTCCCAGTTCACCGATGCCGTTATCGCCTATGAAACAATTGCCATTCCTAGATCACGCGTCGGTCTGAGACGAATTATAGTGCCTTGGTGGAGCCCGGACTGTACTAATGCTATTACGGCCAAGGAATTCTGGAACTCGAGAAAACGTGCGCAGATGATCTAGCCCATACCTCACATATAGTACTAAGAACTATTTAGACTTCAAGTACTATTTTGTACTAAGACAAGTACTAAGAAATATTTATTTATGTAGTAAAAACTATGTGACGTATGGGGCAGATCATTTGCGCACGTTTTCGTGAGTTCCTGAATCCCTTTCCAACATTTTAACTATATATAGTTCAAAGTTGACTACAATTTTAAAAAATAAAACAAATAATAATAATAATAATAATAATACAAATTATTATTATTATTATTATTATTATTATTATTATTAAAACGCGAGCTTAGCAACATTTGAAAAACTAAACAATTTCGTTACCGAGTTACAGAAAATTTATTTGCATCGCCATCGGTGAACGAACTGCTAATTTGATTTTTCTGCATTGCTAACAAAATAGTAACTCATCTCCAGAGAAGTAAAATTAATATTTATTAAGAAATAAAGATACACAAAAAAATAAGAAATAAACTATGTCAACTCAAATCACGATAACACCGCACAAGATAAAAACGCCAAGAACTCCGAAACTGAAATGAATGATAAAATATAAGAAATTAATCAAAGGTTCGCGTTGGTCCGCAGTGGTTCCTTGTCACTCTCGCTCACAGCCTCTTGAATCGCTCTCAAATATTGCGCGTTCAGTTGATTCGCGGAGTAAATCGGTAAGTATGTACTCTAGAGTAAAATAACCCTGTAGAAGCATAGTGAAACGCTTATATTCTACTATTAGTTACTATCTTATAGTAAATGCTTACTCCCGGGTAACCACTCTCAATATTTACTAGGCTGTCCGGGTGACGCCGCGTCCATGGCGAAGGTGCCGACGTTTCGGTCGCCATTCTGCGACCTTCCTCATGGCGTAATGCGCGGAGATGTGTTGCGCACGAGTTTAAATGGGGCTCAGTTTCTCCTCTACCCGAGTGCCGGTTGGCCGGGTGGTCGGCCAATGCGGAGAGAGCACCGGCCAATCAGGGGCGGGCTCTTCGCAGGGTGGGAGGAGGCGCTCCGTCCGTAATCGGACGTTGCGGAACAGCTAGGACTGCGTCCGACCGAGATCGAACGTCCTGGTAAAATAGGTGTTTCCAGGCATCGTGTAGACTTATGCCTTGGTCAGCATTCAAGTTATAGGGGTGTTTGATGATTTCCACCGCCTCTTTTACCCTCCTCGCTGCCCCAGCGGTCTGTCTCTGCTAAGAGGCGTGTGTCATCAAATAAAATAGCATGGCCAGTTTCCATGCGTGCAGGGGCTACAGCCGATTATTCGTATTATTGTATTTATAATTACGAAATGTTCCCGGAGGCGTTCTCTACGGTACGTCCCGTCTCGCCAGTGTAACTATGGTCGCAGCTGCATGGGATCTCGTATACCCCCGATGACATGAGGGCGAGGGACGCGATCTTTCACGCGTACAAGCCTTGCCCGAGTTTTTCCTGGGCTTTGTAAGGCCGTCTTTATATCCAAAGTGGCATCCAGAAGCTTGCCAATCTTATCTGTGACACCGCGTATATATGGCAGAGTGGCTATTTTTGTGTTGGGATTGTCACTAGTTTTGGTGATACCAGAAGTTTTGGCAGAGGTCGTAGCGGTACGGCAGTACCGCTTGGTTGGCAGCGTTAGCGCTATATCCGTTGGCTCGAAATGTAGTCTTTAGGAGCTCCTCCAGAGTCCAACGATTCTTTATCACATACCCTAGTTCCTCTGATGGCCAGAGTTTTCAGAACCCCGCGTTTAGTTGCTGAGTGATGGTGAGAGCCAGCGTGTAGGTAACGGTTTGTGTGTGTGGGTTTCCGG